GTGCTATATTTTTAGACTGCTGGAGGACAAACTGACCTCATTTCCTCGCTCTGCTGCTGTCTTTACTTGCTCTACTCTACCTGTTCGTGTATGTAATTATTTCTATCATTAACGTGTTTTTCTTTCTCTTTCTTTCCATAGAAACTACACCAGGACAAACCATTCGGTTTGTCTGTCACTTTCCTGTCTTCTCTAACTCCATTCAGTCAAGACTACCCATCTTCAACACTGCTGAGCTGGAGGTTTCATCCTGTTCAAAGAAACTGTCACACACTTTCCATTGTCACCAAAGTGCTTGATCAAGATTGAAGATTTATTGCAATCTGAGGGTGTCCTTAGATAGATAGCGTTTACTACTCTGCATTTGTAATGCTTTTGTACAGTGTCCTGAGATTACTTTTGTTGTGGATTAGCACCGTATAAACAAACTGAAGTGAATTGTTTCTGTCTGAATTTCAAATTTCAGTTTCAGTGTTTTGGATAGACATCACAGGTATACCAGCTGCTTTTGGTGTTTTTTTTTTAATTTTATTTTATTTTATTTTTTAACAAACCTGATCATGTGAGATAATCAAAATTCATCAGTTGTTTCATAATTGCATTGCAGGCCTCTAACTTGTAATCAAATGGGCCACTGATTCCCACCCCTAAACTGTATGTCTGTGTGTAGCACACCGGAGGGCTCTCCATGATGCCTTTGAGGTAGATGAGGTCCAGGTCATTAGCAATAGTGGAGCTGGTGGTGCTGTCACTCATTGCATCCAACACCTGGGGCCCTGGAACACACATTACACAAATATTGGAACAAGAAGAGCTGTACTAAGGCCCAGTTTACAAAACACCCATTTTGAGAGAAACGGTAGATTTCTGCTGCAGTTTAGCCGTTCACGTACACAAGAACATTACCCGTGGCTCCTCGGACTGATGAAGTCTTTTGGATGAAAGACGAAATGTTTCAGCACAAAGAAAGTGTCCAGAGGACCTGACTTAACTTTGTTGGACAGCAGTACTTGTTTTCTCTGAAATCAAAGCTTTCTGAATCCAGGTCTGCACACCTACATCAAGGTTCAAGGTTCTCTATTGTCATTCACATCAAATGTGGTACATGAGGTGGAACAAAATTGTGTAGTCAAGGTCTCAGTTACACCCAAAAATAGCAAAACAAATATATAAAAAGAAACCGTATACAAGGGTCTAATATATTTGCTAAACAATAATAATGTAATATAATATGGTATATTATTTAGACAGCAGCCCGGACATGAGTCTGTTGTGAGCAGAGGGGTATGAATATAGCAGCTTAAAGGCAAGAAATCAGCAGCATGGATAATCAGCAGCACAGATAAAGTGACATATCACCAAATAAAGTGGCATTACAGTGATTTATTTTTTCCTTACAGTGATTATCCTGGTTAAATATTCATGAGACTAACAGCTTCATGGTAGAAGCTGTTCCTCAGTTAAGTGGTTCTACACTTAATGCTCCTTAACCTCCTTCCTGAGGGGAGCGGGGCAAAAAGTGTGTGTGTTGGGTGAGTGGAGTCCTTCATGATGCAGATGGCTCTCTTTCTGTATCTGGAAGAGGTGGGGAGGCTGACTCCATTGGTAGATGTGTGAAATTGCATGTGCACATTACAGATGGCTACATGTCTGGTCAAGAAGGCCCATCAGCATCTCTACTTCCTCAGGAAGCTGAAGAGAGCTGGACTTGGGAGCTCTGTCCTGAGGAGCTTCTATCTCTGTGTGGTGGAGGGCGTTCTCTGCACCTGCATCACCGTGTGGCACAGCAGCTGCACTGCTGCTGAGAGGATGGCTCTGCAGAGGGTGGTTAAGACTGCACAGAAGATTGTGGGGAGCAGCCTTCCCACCACCTCGGACCTCTACACTTCACGATGCAGGGGGAGGGCGCTCCGCATCATGAAGGACTCCACTCATCCTGCACACAGTCTGTTCCAGCCCCTCCCCTCAAGCAGGCGGCTGAGGAGCATTCAGAGCAAAACCACCAGGTTCAGAAACAGTTTCTTCCCTGCAGCTGTCAGACTGCTGAACTCGAGCCGCACTTATTTCAGCTTCACACACACACACACACACACACACACACACACACACACACACACACACACACACACACACATATATATATATATATATATATATATATATATATATATATTATAGACCTATATCTAATCTAACGTTCATCTAAAAAATTCTAGAGAAAATATTTGCAGGTCAGTTGCATGAACATCTACAAAGAAATAATTTGTTTGAAGAGTTTCAGTCAGGGTTTAGAGCTCACTACAGCACTGAATCTGCACTGGTGAAAGTTACCATGATATTCTCATGGCCTCTGACAACGGACAGGTGTCTGCACTGGTCCTGTTAAACCTCAGTGCTGCATTTGATACAGATGACCATAATATTCTATTACAGAGACTTAAATATGATATTGGAATTACAGGAATGGCTCTTAATTGGTTTAAATCATATTTATCTGATAGATTCCAATTTATAAGTGTAAATAATGAATCTTCATCATACACCAAAGCTATCCATGGAGTTCCTCAAGTTATTGCACAGGTATTGACATTGAGGTTGAATTATTAGTTACGTTATTGCCATTTGTTCAGTGTTATTTATAGAGATGTCAGTAATCTGACAGCTTATGGATAATAGTTGTCCTTTAGTCATTTGTACGTGATGACAGACTCCTGTATCGTCTGCCAGAGGGTAGTAGATGGAAGAGTCCTTGTGCTGTGTGGGTGTGATCCTTAATAAGGCTGCGTGCTTTACGCAGACATTGGCTGTGGTAGATGTCCTGGATGGTGTGGAGACTGCTACCAGCGATGTCCTCTGCTGTTTGCACCACCCTCTGTAGAGCTTTCCGGCTCTGACTGGTGCAGTTCCTGTACCACCCTGTGATGCAGCCTGTCAGCAGGCTCTCCATGGTGCACCTATAAACGTTGGTGAGGATGCTGGTGCTTGTACCAAACTTCTTTAGTCTTTTAGGAAGTAGTGTCTTTGTTGGGCTTTCTTGACCACAGTGTCCGTATGTAAAGTCCAGGACAGATCCTCAGTAATGTGAACGCCAACGAACTTGAAGCTTCTGACCTGCTTCACCTCAGCGTTGTTTATGTAGATGGTGGACTGCTGACCTCCACGCTGTTTCCTCAAGTCTACTATCATCTCCTTTGTTTTGCTGACATTAAGAGAGAGGTTATTTGCCTGACACCAGCTGGTCAGTGATTTCACCTCATCTCTGTAGGCACTCTTATCTTGTTGGTGATGAGGCCCAAGATGGTGGTGTCATCAGCATACTGGAGGATGACATTAGAGCTGTGCTTGGCGGTACAGTCATGTGTAAATAGAGAGTACAGGAGTGGAGAGAGGACACAGCCCTGAGTGTACCCGTGCTGAGGACTAGTGTGGAGGAGGGTGACTGCCGATTTTCACTGCCTGTGGTCTGTTGGTGAGCAAGTCCAGTATCCAGCAGCAGATGGACTTCTCCAGGCCCTGTTGTGACTTGGTGCAATATAAATAAACTTAATTGGAATTAATTGAGAATAGTAACATTATCGTTGTCGTCTTCAATGAAATGCATTGTTTGTCTGAAATCTTAACTTCTCTGCAAAGAAAATAAACCTCTGCTGCGGTCAATACTAATTAATCCTTCACCATATGGGACTGACTAAACAATGAACAGGGAAGGGTGTTTTTGTGTTTAATTTACATTTATGTAGCACACTTGATAACTTTATGGTGAATACTGGAGGATAGAAAATGTGAACGCACGTTGGAGGACTGTTCTTATGACGGGACCCTTGGATCTCTACACCTTTAACTACCAGTGGTAGGTAGTGTTCGGTGGACTCTGACTGCTCCAGCTCACAGAGGAGGCTGTCTTGTTGGGTCAGAGTTTGGACCACCGGGTGGGTCTCTTTGGTTTCACATGATTTCAAAGGAATACTCACCGGGCTCGTGTCCTCGGCTGAGGAGTCCTTTGCGCCTTCCGAGGTACCTGCCGTTAGGCAGTCTGTGTTACACTCCGGAGGCATTTGTATCGGCAGTGGTTTGCTCACCTTGGCCCACATCGTTTGATCACCATAATCTATAATCGCGTCGAAGCGATTTATAAAATCCTGGCCAACCAAAAATGGGAATGAGTCAACACGAGACACGTGTACCGGGTGGTATAGTGTCATTCTGCCAATCTGCATGTGAACCATTGCTATAGCTGTCAGGGTTGTCCTCTTCTCTGAGAGACCCTGCATTTCTATAGCACATTCTGTGAGAGGTATTATCCTGTTAACACCGGCAGCGGCTGTCCTCAGCTCCTCGAACAGTTTAGCTGACATAATTGTTATGTCTGCCCCACCGTCCAGAAGTGCTTCGTGTGTGAGGACTCCTTCGAGTGTTACTGACAGGTACGCCTTTTTGGCGACCCCCCTTCTGATAAAGTTACACAGAAACCTCTTAGGTTTTTTCTGAAGTTTCTTCACATGTTCAGCCTTGTCTGTGTAATCTTGGTTTGTCTGAACCGTCAGCACAGCAGTAGCTGTTTCTGAGTGTTCAGCCTGCGATGACTCGTCATCGTGTGTGTGTGAGTTTACCCCCCCTTCTTCCGATGAGGGGTTGTTGGAGGCAACAACAACAATGTCTTGGTGTGTTCCACCGACATCTGTGATGTTGTCATTCGCGCCCTCAGATGTAATAGTGATTACATCACTGCATAGTGCTCCAGGTTGGTTTCCCGTGTCAGTGTGTTCCAAAGTTTCTAACAACCTGCGTAGTTTCTCTGTCTCTTCCGAGCTCAGAGGTGTAGGGCCTTGTTTCTGGAACATTTGTGGTTTTTTCGCCTCGGTTCGTTTCGTCCGAGGTGGGGGACGGTTAGGTACGTCTTTTGGGGGTTCCTTTTCGGACTTCCCCTGATAATATGGGTCACCTTGGTTCCCATATCTTTGCGTCCTACGCACACCCCATTTACGATAATCACGTTCATCCTCTGAAAGAGGAGCTTTTTTGTCCCAGCGTGCACCTTCATGACGCGGTTTGTTAGTTTGAAAAGACTGCTTTTTCTCGCCTTTTTTAGAAGGGGGAGGCGATGCACGCCGTCCTTCCCGTTCTAGCGAGTGGGGTTTAACCTTTACACCAGGAAACACCTCTATGGGCATCTTAGCATGAGAACATGCCTCAAACACATTCACAGCACACTGTTTAATCTCATTGATGGATTTTTCTCTGAAATTTGCCATCATTTGTACTGACGTTTTAAAGTCAGTGTGAAGATTTTTGCTGAAAACAAATTTAAAACCTTCTTCTTCCTCCATTCCGGTTTCATTTCTGTAACCAAAATAAGCTTGGAAGATTCTTTTGTAATAAACCTTTGGATGTTCATGCTTCCCTTGCGTGACCTTGTCAGCAGCTGGGAAACCAGCAGGTCCCGTGCAGGGGTCGTATTCCCTGATCAAAGCTTCACACAGAAGGTTGTAATCCCTTCTCGTGGCATCAGGTTGACGCTCGATGAAGGTGAACACCTCTCTGTCCGAAGTGAGCCTTATCAGACTGATTTTATCCTCAACCGTAGCATTAGGATAACCACTCAGTCTGAAATCAAGGTCATTCAGATACGCTTTTGTTCCAGTTGAACCCATTGGGCCAGGTACAAAGCGTTGTACATATTTTGAGAGTTTTTGAAGATCATCTATTGAAAGAGAAAGTTTCAATGGTCTCTCTTGCCTGCTTGGTAGTGGAGACCTGTTCAGGTCTGTCCCTGCTA